ATGTTTGTTTTAATATTTTAGGTCGGATGTATTTGGACAGATCCTGCCACAGTTGGGGAAGGACTGGACCCACCAGGGCATTGCCAAGCTCTACCACTCAGTAGCTGAGTAAGTGCACAACAACACTGATTAATCACAGAGGAAGGCTGAATGGTTGGTCTGTGGTTAGCGCTGTCTGAGTTTGATTCCCAATAGTCTCTCGCAGTGTTTGCGTCGGGTGCTTTGAGGTTGATGACTCAGAAAGTTTGACTAAAAATCAAGACAGTTATAATAGAACACCATGTTTGTGTTCCTTTTGTGATTTTCATAATTTTTAAGCGTCTCAGAGTTGATTTCATAGAAGTGATAGCCATAGACTGCCCATCTTTTAAATCAGACTTCTATAGAGAGGAACATATTGGTGTATGACTGTCATAACAGCTACATCGTCACTGAAAACTTCCTGGAATATTATCTGTGGAAAAGACTGGGAACCCTGATGCATGTTTACTTAATTATTAACAGCTAGGTATCAATGCGAGTGTGACTTGCCTGTATCTATAAGTCACCCTTGTGATTGATTGGCTCCTGCCCAACCCACCCCCAAGCAAAATCCTGTGAATATTCAAATTGGAAACTTTCAGGAATGGGGAATTAATGGAAATAACAGGAATATATGGAAATCCTGAAGGATAAGTGGGTATTGCTAATGGTTGGAATGTATGAAAACTGCATTGTGAAAGCATGTGATCTTATTAAAGTGCTATTCTTACTAATTGCTAACGATGGTGGTGATATTAAACCGTTAATGAGCACTGCTCTCTCCACTGGCAGGAACGGCTACAAGTTCCTGTACTGCTCGGCACGAGCTATCGGCATGGCGGACATGACGAGAGGTTACCTGCAGTGGGTCAATGACGGCGGCACCATTCTACCCCGAGGACCTCTCATGCTGTCTCCCAGCAGCCTCTTCTCTGCCTTCCACAGGTACAAGAACGTGCAATATACGTAGCTTTCAGTGTCATGAAGCCAAATGCATCACATACATTGAATCTTCCTTATCACAAGTCATAATTCCAATTTGAAACCATCTCATGTGTCTCCTCTCAAAGTATAATCCTTTTTGTCTGCAAACTTAATTTCATATTTCCATTTTTCCCAACTCCAAATCCTCATTCATTATAATAAGGCTTTCGTATGCAGAGGTTGCTGAAGCTACAGAAAACTCAAACTTCGGAGTTTCTAACTCAAAATGTGTTGATTAGTTAGTTAGTTGGTATCCTTGCCATCAGCTACTAGAAATATACTCTGCATTCATCTCCTTACTGTCTCTTAACTATTTCCTGCTTTCCACAGTCGGTTCTGAATTGTGTCTTCACAGACGGGGACAGCTGGCAAGGCAATGCCTTTGATGGGCGATTGACATGTTTATTAATTAGCTCGTTAGACTTATGAGGATGGCAGCTCATGGCCAGGTAGCACTGAGCTGTGGATGGATTATTTTAGGAGACCGTAAAGAATCCAAGCAACTTACTTAAAGTGATGCTGAGACATTATTTTTGTATTCGTTGCACAATTTAGCTGGTAATTGATGCAAACATGATTGACCTTGGTTAACAATATGTAGTACTTGATGCAACAATGATTTGCGATAGCATTTGTTAATTAAACAGCTATTACTCTTCACATACCGTTACATCTCCCACCCTCTGGCTTAAATACTGTGTGCACACACAAACGGTATGATAACAATATAAGAAGAAGCTGCACTGCTGTGTTTTAATCTGAATCATATTTCATTTCAATGGGATTCTTCTGTGACCTTTCCTTATACATCATGCACCCTGTTTACACTTTTAAAATGCGTCTTGAGCCATCGGATCACTTATCTTCTGTAGCGTTAACGCTAATGCGTCCCTGACAAGGACGCAACGGGACAATCTGTCATCAACGCCACAGCTCTCCTTTTGTTTCTCCTTCTTCTGACATCAAAGCATGTAATGTCTGCCTGCCATGTCAAAAGCCCGTGGAGATAGATTACTAGTGCATCAAACACATTGGAGATTTGGTTTGCCTAGAACATGCCACGGAATAGACCCGCTCTGTATTGTCTTGAGTTCTTCTTCTTTTAATTTATGGCAGACGAGGCACGGAATGGGCATTGCTGCCTCCCTCCGGTTAAAAACGTGCATGTTGTTTGCAAACAAAAAACGATGTGTGTTTGTTGACCTATAGAGCGCTGAATTGAGGTCCGATCACAAGTGGTCACTCGAGCTGCAGTCCGATGCCATGTGTGAAGTGACATACTTAGAGATGATCACCAAAGATGCATGGTAATGGCCGGTGTAAACAGGGCCATGGGTAATGTGTCGCCAGTCTACAGCATGTGGATTTTTGAGCCATGTCTTTAAGTTGCGGATACTGTATTTGCATTATTTACTTGGCCCTCTTGAATTAATTTGCATGTAACACAGAACTCTCTTGCATTTGGAGGTCCATGAGGAAAGCTACACTAAACTGACATTTTGATTGGGTTTTTTAGATGCTCTGCATAGTATCTCGCATGTATACCTACTGTATTTATCGGAAGAAAGGCTGAGAAAATAACAAAGAGAAACCTAACAACTGTCATTCAGAAGTGACCTGTGGTAAGGACGTGTGTCGCTCTAACCAAACTGTCCGTTTGCTTCAGGGAGGTCATTGAGAAGAAACCAGAGATCTTCAAGATTGAATGCCTTACAGATATCAAGAACCTGTTCCAGCATAACAAGCAGCCATTCCACGCCGCCTTTGGGAATCGAGCTAATGTGAGTTAATGAGTGTTTGAAGATGTCAGACACCCAGACATTAAAGCGCTCGCTTTCACATGTCGGGAGTGCTGTGTGGTTTTTTTTTTTTTTCCATAACTCGATGCAGACGTGATGTATTGCGAGATCAACATGACACGTTGGCTGTCAATTAGCAGACACAAACGTATGAAATCAGCACTGGGCTGAACCTGAGCTGAGGTCACTGGCGGAGTTCGGTCTCATGTGACACCGTCTGTTGAAAAGAGCTCACGCCGAGCACAGCATCCCATCTTCAGCTGCACAAACACCAACACCCAGATGAAGCACTGGGCCGGCCATCAGACCTCTGTCTCCGACGCTCGCCAAAGAAAAACAAACAAAAATAGCAAACGCACAGTCTTGCACTTTCCCATCAAAATGTTCCATTTGGAAATATTGCCATTAGGTGGAACACAAACAGGAAATGTGGTTAATGTCATTAAGGCTCTTATGTCACTTTGTACCCAGTGTGTATTATGTATGAGAGCTACTTTATGAAAACTACATGATCTCAGATGGCTTTTATATGCCCAGTGGCTGCCTTTCAGTTTCATACTTTTATCTAAGAAGATTTTCATTTAATGTGTTTTTGAACTAATCATAATTGATTATTCGTCTCCATGCAGGATGTGTTTGCCTACAAGGAGGTGGGAGTTCCAGTGTGTAGGATCTTCACAGTCAACCCCAAGGGAGAGCTGATCCAGGAGCAGACCAAGGGCAACAAGTCCTCGTAAGTACATAATCTGACTGATCTGTGTCCCCAATAGTAATGATTAGACATTAGCACGGAAAGAAAAGGGTTCAGAAAACAAGTGCACTCATTGTACTAAATACCCACCAAATGGGATATATTATGAGAGGGAAATATAAGCATAAAGCTTCCCTAATGGTTGTTTTAACAGAGTTACAATTACTTTGTGTAAGTGGTTCATCGTAGTGATGAGCCCACAGATATTTATCATGCAACTCTGCATAAACTCAGATTTATGGAGCTTTTTAGTATCTTTTTAAATCATTGTTTCCTTGTTTCCAGCAACAGAAGGCCTCTGTTTTCAGATTTACTGACTAGTTGGTGACTAGATGCTGAACGTAGTGGAGCATTTAGCAGCTAAAGAGACGGATGCTTGCCTCAGAGGAGAGTATATATTGGATTAAAATTCATTGTCGGCTTTCCAGGAACATAATGTCAAATGAATGCTAATGTTGCTCAGCATCTGGTTGATGTGTAAATACTGTTTGCTAACACATACCATACCAACGTTATGATGTAATGTATATCAGCGGTGTGTACAGTTTTTATTTTTTTTTTTTTTTTTTTTTTTCTTTTTTTTTTTTTTTTTCTTTTACATTTTACGCAATTTACAACTCTTAACCTTCATAAGAATTCTGTCATTACTGCATTTCTTTTGTTTTTCTTTGATTGGTTACAAGCTAGAAATACCTGTTAATATCATTGTTTAAGTCTTTATGAATATTTCTGTTCTGTCTGTTTCTCCACAGGTACTGCCGGCTCAGTGAGCTGGTGGAGCACGTGTTCCCTCTGTTGAGTAAAGAACAGAACGAGGCCTTTGTCCTGCCGGAGTACAGCTCCTTCTGTTACTGGAGACAGCCCATACCAGACGTCGACCCCGAGGAGCTGGTCTAATCCAGCACGTATGGACACCCAGGTGCTCGTATACATGCAGCTGGACTGTGCACTTGAATGCGTCTCCAGGAAAGGCATGGACTGAAACCCAAACTTTGCTATATAGTACTTAAACATGCTCGCACAGTAAGAGGGTTATGACCACAGACGCAAACCGTAATTGCCCATTATCAAGATGAGTGGAAGTTATCTCCAGAACAGTAAATCCTGATGAATAATCCCTAGAGACTAATCACCGACTAAATGATCATCTTCCCTCATGCCTGTGAAGGCATCCCAACCCAACGAGCACGATGTCGTCCCCATCAAAGCACAGGGATAAAGATCTGTGACTTCTAGCAAACGGGCTGGTCTGCATTTGCCATCAGGGATGTGACTGAAGCCCCATGCGAGGTATTGGCCCTTAGCACCAGAGTCTGAGCGCAAGGAAAAGACTTTTTTCTTTTTTTTCTTTTTTTTTTTTTTTTTTTTTTTTTTTTTTTTTTTTTTTTTTTTTTTTCCTTGAATCAAGTTTTTCACCTTTCCTGAGCGCCATGAAGTAGTGAAAT